TATTTTCATGTATCTTCAGGGGTCTATTTTTATGGTTTACTACTTCAGGCCTATTCTGATGCTGACTGGGCAAGGTGTCCCGAAATTAGCCGATCCACCTCCGGCTTTGCTATTTTTCTGGGTCCTAATTTAGTCTTGGAAGTCCAAGACGCAGCCTACTATCTCCCGGTCTTCCACAGAAGCTGAATATAGGGCTATTGCTTACACTGTTCAGGACACTCTACATATGCGTTCCATATTGTTCGAGTTGGGGCTCCCTACCTGCGAGCATGTGAAACTCATGTGTGATAATATTTCAGCCCCTTACTTATCCACAAATCTTGTTCAACATGCTCGTAGCAAGCACATCAGCATCGACTATCATTTTGTTCGTGAGAGAGTATCTCATGGAGATCTGGCTGTTCGTTATGTTCCTACACAGTTTTAGCTTGCAGATATATTTACCAAGTGTCTGTCTCCACATCGTTTTATTTTTCTTAGAGACAATCTGCGCATTGTCCCCCCTGCACAGCTTGAGGGGGTGTAATAGTGTAATTAATACTTTAATTAGATTTTCATATTTATTAGGTTTCCTAATGTACTCAGAACACTTCTTTTATTATATATATGACATCTAGAGCTATCACATTGATAAGTCTCCCATTTATTTTGACAATCCTGTCCTTTTCTTAATTTGGTTCTCCACAAACTTGGCTTTCACCACTTTTTTGTAAATTTGATTTTCATTTTTTTTCTATCATCAAAATGGATAGCTTAAATTACTATCACAACATTCAGATAGGGGGTAAAATGACAAAAGGACCACAGGCAACCGCCAGCCCTCGAACCAGACTTAGAGTCAATCACCTCCAAAAAGCAATATAACTCGTTGATCCTATAATGGGCATAAATGAGCCAACGACGGTTAAAGCGGACCTCCCATCACCCAATCATAATGCAAGAGTCTTACAACAATAAAAGTAATCAGCGAAGAAATAAACAGACTGATCATGAAAAATAAAAAGCAAGCAAACGGTAAAATTATAAAACTACTTCCAAACCCTAAACTCTTTTGCACTCCATGGCGGCGGTTGGGAGGGGGACGGTCCAACAATACTTCAGCTTCTTCCGATCCTTACCTGTTCCATCCCCTTGCCCCATGCTTCGTTCATGGCCTTCTGATCTCAACCATGAATGACATCCTGGAAACTCTCCACCAGCTGCTAGGGGTACACAACTTTTGGCCGCCAGGCTTTGCGGTCTGCCGAAAAAGAGAATCTCACGAAAGGCGGATGAAATCCACACAAGAAAACCGCTCTTCGTCGAAGACGAAAGCGGAGAAAAGCGAACACGGCCGCCTAGAGAGAGAAGTTCTCTTAGCAGCACCGCTCCTCAATGAGGTCGATAGCGGACAAAGAGCTATAGCTGTAGAAACCCTAAAGAGAGAAACTAGCAGTTTTGAAACGAACCCTAATTTTCAATAATCTTAAAATCACTTGGTTCTCTATTTTAATTAATGGCTCTCCCTATGGGTTTTTCCAACCTACTCGAAGAGTCAAACAAGGGGACCCTCTATTCCCTGTTTTATTCATAATTGTTTCTGAAGCTCTTTCTAGGAATCTCAACCATCTTTACACCATGGATGGAGGAATCCCATATGTGGGCATGCCTATTATATCGCACTTATCTTATGTTGATGACCTCTTTATTTTTTTCTAATGGCAATAATCACACTTAAAAAATCTATCTTTTGGCTATTTATGAAAATTATGATGGTCAAAAATTTAATTTGGAAAAAGTGCTTTCTATATGGACCCCAAAACTCCCCCAGGTACTCTAAACATGATTCGACATACTACTAAGATGAAAAATGGTTCTTTTCCTTTCAAGTACTTGAGAGTTCAAATTTTACTTGGGAGAAACAAAAAATCTATTTTCCCCACAACGTTAATCGTATTGATAAAAAAACTGAATAACTGGAAGCACAAATGCCTTTCCCAAGATAGAAAATAATTTTTTATTAAACATGTTCTTACCACCATTCCTTTGTTTTCCATGGCCTCCTCTAAAGTCCCTAAGAGTATCCTTACGGCTGTTGAGCAATGTTGCAATAATTTCTTTGGAGTAAGGACTTGAACTACCCGAAGCACTTTAGTTGGAGGTCATGGAAAAATTGTTCTTTCCCTTTTAATGAGAATGGGGTGGTTTTCGCAGGTTACATAATATCCAACGGAGCTTTTACCTCAAACTGTGGTGGAAAAAAGACCAAGATCAAAGCATATGGGCTGCAATATTTAATTCTTTTCATTCTTTTTTCAGCTCTATTTTTTGGAAATTTATGTACTTTGTAAAGGACATTTATGTTGCGAACATTAATGTTATTGTTCATAACGGCAGTAGGTCATTTTGGGACTCAAATTGGAGTCCCTTTGGACCACTGCATATATATTACCCGGATACCATCAACCCTACCATCACCATTAGGGAGGCCTATAATGACATCAACTAGTATGTTGAGGTGCTCCCCCCCCCCCCTCCCCATTTTTTACACAGAGGTGGACACTGTTCTATGGAACAAAAACTCTAATGGGATTTTCACGTTCCGCTGCCTATGATGAGATTAGGGGAAAAAATGGGAAAAAAAATTAAATGCCATATGGAAAAAACCAACCCCAAAAAGGTTTTGTTCTTCCTTTGGCAAATTAATTTGGTGGTTAAAGTTGTTTCTCTTACCAATATGGGTTTCAATGGTCTATTTAAATGTCCTCATTCCAACCACCAACATTATTTGGATCATTACTCTCTTCGTTGTCCGTCACATGTTGTCATTTAGATCCATTTTGATATCCTAAATCACCAGTTGGACGGCAATTTGAAGGACCACATACTTAGATGGACCAAACACAAAAACATTCTGTGTTATTTCACTATCCTTTGGAACCTTTGGAATATGAGAAACGCCACTCTTTATGAGGATATTGCCCCTAATAACTCTGAGGCCATTTATATATTCATCGAGATCTTAATGAGTTTAAGGTCTCCATCAACATGAAAAATCTCATTATGAATAAATCTTACACCATTACTTGGAAATCTTCACTGATTGACCACTACACCCTGAATGTGTTGGTCACACTCAAAACTTTGGCTTCCTCATTCATAATAACCAAGGGAGATTAGTTACCCATCCTTTTCAAAGCCTCTTCAACACCTCTAAGCACAAAGCTTTCATTGAGGCCTTACACATTTTCTTAATTGTTGCAGGCACAACGGGCAGATCGTAAACATCATTGAGATCTCCAATCAATTGGTCTTACAATCCATCAATCATAACTGTGTGCATCATTGGGAATCGATCTTCGCTATCTCTTGCAGTAGGAAGACTTTACATCAAGATTGCATCCTCATCTGTCATATTCCAGAATCTACTAATATTGTGGTTAATGCCATTAGCCTTGAAGTTGATATCAAATCTTCCTGTTTTAAAACATTCTCAAATTTGAAGTTGTCGTTTACACTTATGTTGTTTAATCTTGTTTTCGCTTTCTTTCGGTAGGTTTTGGCTGTATGTACCACCCCCCCCCCCCCCACACCTTGTCTTTGTCCTATTTTACGTTTTCATCCTTTTACTACATTTATCTCAAAACATATTTGATAATATTTGAGTGATTACAATTCATTCTTATTTCGTTTATCACGCTTTATCAATTCAATATCAATCACACAATTTCACTTTTTATAATAGTTGTATCATTCTCTCTCTCTCTCTTTTACAGTATTACGGCAATGGAGGTAGTACCAAAATGCCATACTCCACTGCGTAATTAATTAATATCAAAACTCCACTAACAAAGTAACAATTATGTATACGATGTTGTTACAATTCTACGACTTCATAGGATTTTACTATTTTGCCTCTATGTAGACTCATAAAATCATACATTAGAATTTTTAATTAAATTTGAAAACTGAAATAACTAAGCTCTTAAAAGTTAAAACCACACGTACTTATATTGTCTATGATGCACCTCGTATTTTGGGCGAGATTAAGGGGATGTTTGGATCTGATTCTTAAAACTGCTTCTACTCCTTCGGGGAGCAGAAACAGAAGTTGAAGTGTTTGGGTGAAAGTGCAGAAGTGATTCTGATGCTCTAATTTACTCCTAGAATCAGTTTTTTAGAAACTAAGGGAGACCAGCTTCTGAAAACTAATTATGATTCTGTTTCTACTTTAAAAAAGAAGCAGAAGCATAATCACTTCCAAACACCCTAAGTTGAAGTACAATTCCACAATATGGAGTTGTGTGTCAACCCGGATCCATATATTAGTAGTGGGAAAAGGTGCAAATAGGCTCATGTACTAACCAAAAAAAGTCAAATAAGTCCTTATTTAGGAGGCACTATCCGGACGTCACCATTTGGGATGGTTTTCGGTGGAATTTTTTGATGAAATTTTTTGTGCATCGTATTCATGAAGTCTAGTTTACTCATACCAAATTTCAGCTAAAACTTCAATCGGGAAGACATTCAAATGAATTCTTGAAGATAACTGCGCAGTTAAAAGCGCAATTATCTTCAAAAATTCATTTGAATGTCTTTTCGATTGAAATTTTAGCTGAAAATTGGTATGCGTAAACTAGATTTCATGAATAAAAGATGCTCAAAAAAATGCATCAAAAAATTCTGCCGGGAACCACCCCAAATGGTGACGGCCAGACAGAACCTCCTAAATAAGGGCTTATTTGACCTTTTTGGTTAGTACATGGGCTTATTTGCACCTTTTCCCATTACTAGTTGAGTGTGTAAGAAGGAAAGTAGGGCAGCTGGGCAGGTGGAGGACTATAAGTTTTGGATAATGAAACATACTGAGTACCTCAATATAGCAAATAAAAAATAAAATCGCATATTATAAACACACATATCCATATAAACACAATAAAAGATAAATAACTTACTCACCAAAAGTTATCAAATTTCATATTAAAACAAATTATAATTAGCAAATTAAAATGTTCACAGTACCTCAATTTAGCAAACACTCCTGAATTGTTATCATTAGAAAATTCCTAACATATTAAATTTTAAGTTTATTAGGTTGATGGAGGGAAAATCAAATCATGGCTATCTAGTAGTTTGAGATAGCGATGATAAACATAGATTATGCTAATTATAATAGTTAAGAATGGGGTCGAGTGCGCCCAAATAATACCCTTATATTAAGGACCCTTACACCCTGACCTCCTATTGCGTACCCCTCTTGATGCCTTATTACATATACAATATTGTGTATGCCTCGTTGCAATATTTTATACGCCACTCTCAATGCCATATGCAATGCCTTTTATGGCATAGTCAAAGAATTAGCTGAGGCAATGCATTGCGCAATTACAAACAATGTTTTTTCCATAGTAAAGAAGCAGCAAGGTTCTCGATCTACTCTTAAGTATTCTCTTGGGACTAGAATAGTAGAATGCCTATTTTACTCGGCCGCAACATTGCTAGTGACGACTTGCAAGTTGCAACACATCACCTCCCATACCCTCTAGCGCATAAACAGACGTGGAGATTAACTTAGCTACACATACTTACCCCTGTACTTTGGCTTTGATTCTTTACTTTGCTTTGTGTCCCCAACCCCGTTGGGCAGATCTTGAACAGGGCAAAAAACAGCAGAATGAAGATTGCCTTCTTCAAGCCACTTCACATGGTTCTCTTTGAACTCCAGATGTTTCATCCTTGCCGTCAATTCAACTTCTTCAGTATACGGTCCAATCTTCACCATTGTCAGTAGTATCCGGCTGTATCTGAAGCTTAGTATCTGTTCCGACACGGCGACCAGTTTGAAACACGGATGCTCCGGGAAGATAGGGCTGCACGAGGGATCATCTCTCAAGGACGGGTAAAAGTATACCAACCGCCCACCAATGACCAGCATTCGGGCAGCCAAGTCAAGAAGGTCGTGTACACACTCCACCAAGCTGTAAGGGGCAGTGGAAGGTATGTGATCTGTTCTTTTTTCATCGGGAATAGTGTATGGCCCAATTACTCCTTTAAGAAGCTTCCTTCCACCCGATTTACGCCCCCCTGCCCGAACTCCGTATGGAGGGTCACATATTATGGCATCAAACATCTGCAACAAAACTTCTCAGCTGAGTTTAAAAAAAAAACAGGAATTTGTGGGCCCACAAAGGTATGTTATTAAAAGCCTGTATGGTAAGACTTAATCCCTGTTTGGCAAATGAGCAGTTAGCTGTTAAGATTAGGTGATTGAACTTATCTGTTTTAATTAGCTGTGTATGCAGTTTTTTCTGTTAAAGCAATAAGTTGTATGAATGTATGAATATGGTTGTATAAAGCAATAAGTTGTATAAAGCTCATTTTATTGGATGACTAGCAATTAGCAAACAATAAAATTAGATGTTCACATAGTCAAACAGCTAATTTGAAATGTAGAAAAAAAGCCCTTAAAAAAGCTTTCCACCAAACATAGCCTTTAAGTTGCCAAAGCAGAAGAGAATTTGCTAAAACTGCTCAAGAGTTATGGCTTAATGGGATGCATTGGATCTGCTCAATTATCTAAAGTTATATATTTAAATATATGTGTTATTCAAATTATTGAAAATAATATCTAAAAATAAAATTTCATCCAACTCGGCCAGTGTTGTAACAATATAGTGTTTGGTGAAAAAACATGTTAATAAGCCAAAAACTAAGTCACCAGATGGGCTGTCAATCCATATAATTTGAGTCTTAAACTATTAAGTCTTAATAAGTCTAGTTTTAATAAATGATATGTTCTTTTTTCATCCGGAATAGTGAATAGGCCATTGCTTGTCAGCTTACCCGATTTTACATATCACAAGAAATGAAGCAGAGAAAAACATTCTGGATTTTGCCTCGACATGTGAATTGGCCGTAATGAACACTTCGTTCAAGAAAAGAGACTCACCTTGTGACCTATAGAAGTGAAGCTAATAGTACCCAAATTGACTACTATTTAGTACAGACGACTTAGAGAACTAGCTACACTATTTGTAAGGTTATCCCAAGTGAGATTGTTGTCACTCAGCATAGGATGTGTATGCTTGATTTTCAAAGTAAGAAGAGAACGCAGGTTAAGGTACAAGTAGAGCCAAAAATAAAGTGGGGGAGACTCAAGGGAGATGTCCAACAAAGTTTTGCACACAAAATGTTTAGAGGAAGATGTATGGTGTATTGATCATAGTTGTTACGACGGGGTTTTGCGGCGCGGCGCCTTTGGACTGCCATACCGCCATGGCGATATGGCGCCTGTCGTGGCGGAGTCGCGGCGATAAGTCGACATATACACTAATAAATTCATAATATGTTTTGCATACTAAAAAGCCTAGGCCCTGCATGCAACACTTATAGCCAACACTACTAATGAAGTAATAAAACATGTAATCATAGAAATAACATAATTCATAAGACCATAACCATAAACCTATAGTTCATCTAAACAATCACAAACATTATGTCATTATCCATAAAATTGTTTTCAGAAAATTAAAACTTTTCTTAAAATTGTAAATAGTACAATACTAAGTTTTCAAAAACTTTTGGACTTCCTGTAAAACATTATACAGTCCATCACAACATTAAATACAACATTAAATTCAGAGCATTCAACAAAATATTAAATACAATTTTTTTTTTGAGAAATATTAAATACGGAGTACAAAGTTGATATACGAAGTTCGATGTTTTTACACCCAAGCACCCAACTGGAGTATTTACTAAAAAATACGAATAACATACCCACACTAAAGTTAAGTTAAAAGTCGAAGTCCAGAAAAACTGCGGACCATTTTTCTTGAGTGCGCGACTACAAGCGATTGAGCTATTAAAGCGACTTAGCCAACGACTCTACCTGGCGGAAGATTCAGCGTGCGGACCATTGAAGACGGAAGGGAAGCTGGACCGCAGACGGGACTATGCGTTTGGAAAGTCGTCGAGTGGCATAGGTCTGGTTTTATTTTATTTGATGGGTTCAAAAAATTCGGGTTTGGGTTTGGGCCTGTTCAAATAAGTACGTCTTGGGTCGTCGACTAGGCGTCTATGGCGTTTTTTCCGACGCCAGAGAGACGTTACTTCGACGCCAAACGGTTTATGGCGTGTCGACAACATATGGCGACCCTCTCTTAGCGCCAGGACGATATTGCGACGATAAGGCGACACCATGACAACTATGGTATTGATAATGACGCACATGTGGATGATGTGGTTATGAATGGAGGCGATCATTAACAAAGTGATGAAGAAGATACTTGGAGAATCTAAAAGATGTTTGTCACCAAAAAATGACACATCTTGATGGAACGATGAGATGAAACAAACAATAAGGACCAAAAGAGAATGTTGCAAAAAGTTAGGTAAAAATTAGAGGGATGAGAACATAGAGGAGTACACGGAAGCTAGAAGAAATGCAAAGAAAGCTGTTAAGGAAGCAAGATGCGACGTGAACAAAGAATTGTATGTAAAGTTGGACTTTAAGGAAAAAGAAAAATATGTTTACAGACTTGCTCGCCTTCATGATTATAGGACTCAAGATATCAATTAAGTGTGAAGGATATCGACCAAAAGGTACTAATGGAGGACAAGGAAATAAAGGAGAGCCGGAGGTCATACTTTGATACTTTTTTCAACGGGAGTAAAGTGTGAGGTATTGGTAATCTAACTATACCAGAGTGTATGGTAAATTGGGACTTCGTGAGGACCCAAATGATAGAAGTTAAAGAGGCCATGAGAAAGATAGAGGGAAAGAAAGGAGTTGGTCCAGATGGCATACCGATCGAGGCTTGGAGAAGTTTGGGAGAGAAAGGCATAGAGTGGCTAACACGTTTCTTTAACATGATTTAGAGAAACAACAAATGCTAGTGAGTTGACGAAAGAGTATTCTCATTCCCCTATTTAAAAATAAGGGTGATGTACAAGAATGTGCCAACTATCAGAGGATTAAGCTTATGTGTCACACCATGAAACTTTGGGATTGAGTGGTTGAGCAAAGCCTTCGAAAAGTAAGAAAATTTGGAGAACCAATTTGGTATTATGCCTAGACGCTCAACAATTGAGGTCATTCACATTCTTAGACAAATTGTGGAGAAGTATACAGGCACTAAAAGAATCTACATTTGGTGTTCATTGACTTAGAAAAGACATATAAGGTACCTCAAGATAGTCAAAGTCGAAAGGCTCACTTGAAGCGTTAGGGGCCTTCCAACGCCTAAGGCGCAAAGAGCAAAAAAGTGCTCGCCTTAGTCGGGTCAAGCGCACTATTTAGAAAATATTATGTGTACTATTCTAGAGTGATCAAATACAACATATTCAACATCATATTGAACTAAATGCATAAAAAAGTCATGTTTCTAAAAAATGAAGCAATGATTCACCAAATAAAGCCATTATTCACCAAAGAACAAGGGGGGTCTGTCCTTGTTGATTTTGCAATTTTAGCTCTAGGAATAGCATAAATCATATAGTGTGTGAAACTATTAACCACGTTAGATTATATGAAGTTTTTATACAGTTAAAATATGAAATGATAATAGGAAGATATAGAGTTATACATTGTATAATAAGATAAAATAATATAGTGTGCATATAACATAAACTGGTAGTCACATACATATAATATGTTTGAGTTGTATAGAATATATTAGAAGCAAAAAGAACTATAAAGTATGCATAGATGACTGGAACTGATAAAAGTAAAGAAAGAAGATAGATTGAAAGAATAAGACAAAAGCATTGCCAAGAAGATGGCATAATAAATGAAAAACTACAAGCTGAAAAAGAAAGAAGAAAGAACATGGGAAGATGATGATGATGATGAAGACACCTTATGGATTTCTAGCTTCTGTGGGTTTGTTGAATGTGTTTCACGGCTGAACATGTTGCGTAAGTAGAGCGTATAGCAGCGTAGGAGATTCACGGTGAAGTCAAGACTCAAGATAGAAGACTTTTCCCACGACTAAGAAGGGTTTCATATGGGTTTAAGTTGCTTTTACCTATTATTTGGACGGGCTAACTCTTATTATCAATATGGGCTTATTATTTAAAGTAGGATCAAGCAAAAGTAGGCTGATAAGCCTTTCCCTGCCAAGGCGACTTAAGTGTGGGCTTCTCTCAGGTACTGTGCTTCAGCGCTTCTGCGCCTAAATTGCGCTTTAGACAGGGAGCTGCGTCTGGCCATTCTTCAATTGCTAAACCTCATTTGTGTTGTGTCTGGTGCGCTTAAACGCCAGGCGCTCGCTTTTGACTTCTTTGGGGTACCTTGAGAAGTTCTTTGGTGAGCCTTGACTAGAAAAAACATATCACGTAAGTATATTAGTATCAGCATAAATATGTATGAGGCTTGTACTACAGTGTTTGTACTAGTGTAGGGAGGACCGCATTGTTTCCTATTACTATCGGAGTGCACCAAGGATCGGCTATGAGTCCTTTCTTATTTGTTATAGTTATGGATGAATTTAAAAGTCAATTCAAGAAAGATATACCGTAATGCATGATGTTGCCAACGATATTGTATTGATTGATGAGACGCAATCGGATGTTAAAGCAAAGTTGGAAGCAGATTTGTCACGGCGGTAAGTCGAGTCGTGGCGCCCGCCTAGTGTGTGATATGTTCTGTTACTTAGGCTCCATAATTCAGAAAAATGGTGAATTGGATGAAGATGTATCCCATAGAATCAAAACTGGGTGGATGAAATGAAAGAGTGCATCAAAATTTCTACATGATCGGCGTATACTGACTAGATTGAAGGGTAAATTTTATCGCACAACAATTAGACCTGCATTAATATATGGTGTAAAGTGTTGAGCGGTGAAACAATGATATATTTAAAAGATGAGTGTGACAGAGATGTGTATGTTGTGTTGGATGTATGGACATAACAGAAAAGACCGGCTTGGGGAATGAGATAATCAGATAAAAGGTGAGAGTAACACCTATAGAAGATAAGATGCAGGAGTCTCAATTGCGGCGGTTTGGTCATGTGCGCAAAAGATCGAGTGATGCGCCTATTAGACGACTTGAGAGGTGGGGAGGAAAGGGAGAGGAAGACCAAACAGACTTGCATTAGAGGAATAAGAACTTATGTGCGTCTTCTTGGATTGGACGAGAGTATGGCTTTGGAGAAAGCAAAGTGGAGGTGCACATTCATTTAGACGGTTGATCTCTTTTCTATGTTTTCTCTAACCTTTTTTTATCGTTTATCTTCTTTATCTTTCTATATTATTATGTTATTTTTATCTTCTATCTTTCTTATTCACTTTTATCTTTTTATCCAATCATTCTTATGTATTTATGTTATTGTTATGCCATATTTATATTTATCTAATCCGATTTACCTAACTTTATTTTTTATTCTTCTTTCTTCTCTTTTGGCTCTATTATCATGGATCGTTCATGTTAGTCAACTCCAAAATCTTTTGGGATTAAGGCTTGGATGTTGTTGATGAGAGTTCAAATCCTTTCTAATATCTTTGAAATTTTATGTTTTGTTGGCCTCTTTAAACCTTTAAACCAATTTAAAATGAACTTCAATAGTTTTATTTAATTTTCTCCTTATTTCAAGGATTTAACTCATTTTAGATAATTGAGATTTCTATTTAATACTGAGTGCATAATTTATAAAATATTGGTAACTACATTCTTGCAAACGGATAATATAAATTTATCTTGTTTTTATAAAATATTAGAATTTCTAAAAACGTGTAATGATAGCTCTCTACACAAACGTAGCATTAAGGTCCACCAGAAATCTAAAACAGAGCCTCCAATTAAAATAAAAGAAAAACACACTGTCAAAAAAAGCAAGTAAATAGCTACATTTGTGCAATTGGATAGAGAAAAAAACTACCTCTTGCAAACCTAGGCGCCAAGGAGGAAGGCCATTGTCTGCCCTTATTAAAGAAATGGGCTGTTGCAATCCATACTGCATTCATAATAAAAATCCAACTACCTATAAAGATCTCAAAGCGCATATCGACAACAAAACCCGAAATTTATTACCTTATTAAGTTCAATTTATCATCATATATAAAACGAACCATATGCACCATTATCATGTAAATAAAGATGTCTAATATAGGCTTGATTTTGGTATGGTCTACATAACAACATGCAGTCCTTATAATCTTAATGAAAATGTATGGTTTCAGCATAACAACCTGTATGAAATTGCTCCAAACATTGCAATCTGGACCTCGGCCATCACGCACTACACGGATATCTATATCTGCACCCTGAAAAGAATGGCTATAAATAGTGTTCTTTTGAAAGGATACTGTGTTAATTTGAAAATCAGAAAATACTTGGGTAAAACTGGTGAAAAGTAAAGGTACGCTCAAAGTCTCAAACTCGATAAATTTATGTCAGATGTTTGTTCAAGCAGATTATATTTATATTTTCCAGTAGACTAATACTAAGAAATCTATAATATACGTAGTACATATAAAAAAACTAATCTTGTTTCATTTTCTTAGCAATTTCCAAGATAAGGGAGAGAGTAAGAAATTATTTTTTCGCAGCATTTTTCCTTTCTTAAGCCTATTACAAAACCCAACTAGGGAATAAGATATAGAGAAAATTTGGGAGGAAACCATATTTAGAGGAACCTTACAAAACTCAATAAATTTGTTTTAGACATTCCCAGAGAATTGTTTACTTGCATATTTTTAGTATTCAAAGACAAATAAATCTAAATATATGCAACTATGCAAGTTTTATTTTTAAATCAAATTTGATTAAAAAATTAAGAGGTTCTTCTAAACTTTTACTCTTTTCATCCCTTAAACTTTGACATGTTTGAAACTTTGACCAACTATATTTTCATTAGAAGTTATCGATATCATAAAAATGATACGAAATGTTCCTAGTTAAAAAGTACTTCCCTAAAATGATAAAAGTACAAAATTTATGACTTCCATGATATTACACTAATCAAAATCATGGTCCAAACTTTACGAGATGACAAATTTTTAAAGGACAAAGGTAGTACTAGAATAACACTTGTACACAAAAATGTGATCAAAGTGACTATGAGTACACTTTTTAGTCACTTTGATGTAAAATTTGAATATAATTATAACTCAGTCATTAAGTTGCATTTTTGTCCAATATCCTCATTTTGGTCATATATTAGGGATTATTTATTAGATTAAACAGTTTCAAATTTAAAATCAAACAATAAAAAACATGTATTCTAGTATTTTGTTTCCTTCCTGGGATCCAAACATACCCATAAGGTTCCAGTACATATGGAAAAAATAATACTGACCATTGTCATTGCCCTATAATGAGCAGCAGCAACTAAAATGCTTCCTGTGCCAACAAACGGATCATAGACTAGTTTCCCAGGATCTGCGTGGGCTTGGTTGGCCATCAGGAATGCCATCTCAGCATCCATGGCTGTGGGCCCCAGATAATTGCGACTTTTCAACTGATAAGTGGGCAAGAGTTTCCTATCAGCAGCACCAACCTCCCGACCAAAAAACACCCTCCTATGAAGAGTCGGGGGGAGTCCATTATTAGACCCATCGTTATCATTTTCAATTAGGCAGAACTTGTGGTCAGGATTTTTCAAATTTACCCGTCCCTGGAAAAAATAGAAACAGCAAGCCTAGCATAAACACATCAGAGGGGGTGCAATAATGGTGCAATGGGAAACATTGGTTTGCGCATAGTTTGGAAAGGCACGACTACGGAGGAATTGACCTTGAAAGGAATGTATGAGAGTGCTCGAATACGATCATTTTGTTCCTGAAAGCTGATGGCTTTCCCAAAGCTGTCAACAGAAATCTTGAATGTGGTATTACATGTCAGGTAAGGTAACTTCCGCTCATCAGGGTAACTCTTGATAGCATCTTCCAACTCCTCGTAGTTACTGCCTTCTCCCCAAAGTTCATACATTCCCTTTACAAGAATGCCTGCACAGTGAAGGGTGTCGAAATGACAAAACCAATTCATGAATCTGGATCAACAGCTGAAATCGAGAAACTAAAGACAGCAGAGACATTTGAAAATGCAACCAAAACACGCAATTAACATCAACAGATTTGGAACATTGCTCGACCATGCTATAATTGTAGTCTCAGCAGAAAAGTGAAGAGTTTGGGTGAGAAATGCATACTTCGATTTGCGACATTCCGAGCAATCTCTTCTGAGGGGAGGGACACGAAATGGAAGGGGGAATCCGGGTGGTAGTGCTCAGGAAGTCTCCACTCAATGTTTCGCGGCTGGGAGTTGAATGCTCCAAAGAGCTCGGCCAAGGATTCGACCTCGGGTTTTCGGAAGTCCAATAATCTGTGATAAAACACGCACAGGTACCACATCTCCCCCTCCTCCTTTCTTCAGTCACAAATGGAGCGGTGGGAAACAGCAGAGACTTTACGGACCCAAATTACTCCCTCCTCCCAACAAACAAGATTGACCTAAGCATATCTTGTTTATTAATTTTTGTTCTATTTGCTTTTGATTGTGCTTTTGAAAAATGATTTCACCTTACTTTTTATCATTAAAACCAACAACTCAAATAAATTGTTTACCAATTGGCTTACAATCGAAAGAGATGTACCATTTAGATAGTGTATCCGACAAAACAACTCCTGACAACCGTCGTCCCTCGAACCAGATTCAGAATTTATCGTCTCAGTAATATAACTCGTTGATTCATTAATGAGCACAAATGAGTCAAAGACGGTTACCGCGGTCATTCCATCACCCACACCCAAATCCAAAATCACAGTCTTACAATCAAAAGAGATAAAACAAAAAAAATACACACAAATTCAGACCATTAAAATAAATAAAAGCAAAAAAATTAATTTTTTCACTCAACCTTCCAAGAACCACCGGCGGCGGTTCAGGAGGAGGTCAGATCGCCTTCACTTCATCGCCTTGATCGGCCCTTGAGTCGCCTCCAGCCGAATCTCTCTATCCACGAATGAATTGCCAGAAGACGGCACCGCTCCTCGCCATACAACTCTAGCGGTGAAACCCTAGAGACATGACGCGAATCCAAGAAGATGCAGTCCTCCTCCTCTTCGACCGACGAAATATTGATTGCCGCAATCTTCATCTCCAAAGCGGAGTTGTCCGCCTAAACCCAGAAATTCGCTCATTATTCCTCACCCTTCACGCTTTTGAAAAGTGATTTATTTAAGAGATTTTTGGAAAAAATGATTTGTAGTGAAATTAGATAGTATTTGGGAATAGAAGCGATTTTAATTAAAAGGTAAAAGTTGAAGTGTATGATAAAAAATGATTTTTGATGGAGTATTTTGTTAATGTACAAAATTATCCTTGCATAAACAAAATTGGAGGCGGTTCTTCCTATTCTTTCCTCCGGAAGCTTCATCCCCTGTCCCCTGTGCTTGCAAGTTGGTGACTCCGTGCAAAAGCTGACGCATACCCACAAATTGATTCGTAACTCGTAAGGCACTTGCGCCACTTAGAGCAACTCCAATGGAGAGGTGCATTGCCCCTCCACATCATCAAATGCAAAATTAAAATGAAAGTCTACTTCCCAATGCAAAATAATGTAGTTCCATTGTAGGTGACTTGGCACTTAATAATTAGGAACAATGTCAAGGAGGAGGTCCATATTGAGACCTTGGGTCTCACCCTCTGACAAAGCCAACAAGGCATATGTAGGCCTCTAGGATTTTCGGCCATTCATTTTCATTTTTGCTTTTTATTTAGTTTTTCTTTGTTATTTGCATTGGAGTTCAAATTGAATAGACCCTACTATTCCCTAAATTTTTGGTCCACATTTGGAATACACCATGTTCATTACTTTGCCATCTCAGCAGCAATGCACAACTGCATTGGAGTTGCCCTTAGTGAATCAAAAAGGACAAAAAAAAGTCAAAATGGAGTAACAGCCACAGGTATGGAAGCATTGGAAGAACTAATAAGGGATTTCGGTTTCTTTTTATGCATCTATTTTATTTTGTTACGAGAGGCTAGCAATAATATTGCAATAGCTAGTAATTGGAAGCATTGGGAGAAGTAATGAGGGATAAATGGGCCGCCCGACCCGGCCCGCTGCTGTGCGGGCCCGGAACCGGCCCGGTTCTCGGGTCCGGGTCCGGGTCCGGGTCGGGCCTAGGCCCGGTGGGGGGCGGGTCCGGGCTCGGGCCTTGTATTTGGCGAACCGGCCCGACCGGGTCGGGCCCGGGTCCGGGCCGAATTGATTTTTTTTTTTTCATTTTTGGGGTTCCACCCGGGTTGGGCTTGATGGTTAGGAGGGGTTTGGGGGGTTTGGGGGGGTTAGGAAAGCAAAAAAAATGACCAAATCGGAGGCCCGGCCCGGACCCGGACCGGTCCCGGTGGCTACCCGGGCCGGTCCCGGGCCTTCCTTCCAAAAAAAAGCCCGGCCGGGCCCGGCCCGGAACCGGAACCGGCCCGGGTCCATGACTACTCAGAAAGAGTTGAATATGAGACAGAGGAGATGGATGGAGTTGATCAAGGACTATGACTTGATCATCGAATACCATCCCGGAAAGGCCAATGTGGTGGCCGATGCACTGAGCAGGAAGAGTACGTCGGAGACGTTACTCACATGTCTACAGGCATTGAGGGCACGTGTGGAGGTGTCCACGTGCGGGACCCTCATTGCTAGATTCAAAGTTAGGCCTACATTGTTGGGTGAGATCAGCAGGTGTCAGGCCATTGATGAGGAATGTCAGAAGATCCATGAACGGATCCTTGAGGGGCCCGTTGAGAACTTCCGAGTAAGTGATGACAGTCTATTATTGTTTAAGGATCGTGTATGCATACCAAAGAATGAAGAACTCCAGAAGTCTATACTTGAGGAGGCTCATTCTTCAGCTTATGCTATGCATCCAGGAGATACTAAGATGTACCGAGATTTGAAGGAAAGTTACTCGTAGTCAGGTATGAAGAGAGACATCGTAGAGTAAGTGAGTCGATGTCTTACTTGCCAGCAAGTTAAGGCAGAGCATCAGCACCCGGCAGGGCTTTTGCAGCCACTCACCATCCGAGAGTGGAAGTGGGAGCACGCGACCATGGACTTCGTGGTGGGGCTACCACGAACAGTGAACAACTATGACGCAGTATGGGTAGTGGTTGATAGGCTCACCAAGAGTGCACACTTTTTGCCTATCAACATTACCTATCCTCTCTAAAGATTGGCCAAGCTATACACGGAGGAGATTGTGAGATTACATGGAGTCCCGATATCCATTGTCTCGGATAAAGATCCACAATTCACATCCCGATTTTGGCCAAAGTTTCAAGCATCGTTGGGAACTAAACTGAAGTTTAGCACAGCTTTTCATCCACAGATGGATGGACAGTCCGAGCGAGTGATACAGATTTTGGAAGACATGCTTAGGGCATGTGCTCTGGAGTTCCAAGGAAGTTTGCCTATAACAACAGTTATCAGGCAAGTATCGGCATGCCTCTATATGAGGCATTGTATGAGAGGAAATGTAGAACACTGTTGTTTTGGGACGAGGTTGGCGAGGCCAAACTCAAAGGGCCAAGGCCAAGGTGAGGATCATTCAGGATAGACTGAAGGCTGCTCAAGACCGACAGAAGAGTTATGCTGATAAACGGTTGAGAGCGTTGGAATTCGAAGTCGGTGATGAGGTTTTTCTAAGGATTTCTCCTTGGAAGGGCATCATTCAATTTGTATCGAGGGGAAAGCTTAACCCCCGATACATCGGTCCATTTGAGATCCTTGAAAGGATTGAGGTTGTGGCTTATCGTCTCAAGTTAACACCAGAACTTGAGAAGATACATGAAGTGTTTCATGTATCGATGCTCAAGAAGTATGTATGAGATCCGTCTCATATTTTTGAGAAACCACCGGTAGAGATCCGTGAGGGCTTGCAATATGTTGTTGAACCGGTAAGGATTGTTGGTCAACAAGTAAAGAAATTGAGGAATAAGGATATTCATATGGTAAAGGTTCTTTGGAGGAGTGCTCGAGTCGAAGAAGAGACCTGGGAGACCGAGGTCTCAATGAGGGAGCAATACCCATTTCTTTTCGATTAGACACGTGGATTTTGAGGACGAAATCCCAAATAAGGGGGGATGAACTTGTAACACCGTTCCCAAATATATTTACTTTTAAGTAAATGATGTAATGAACCTTATGGAATGATTAATGAATTTACGAAGTTGTAAATTTTTATTATTTCTTTCGCATGAATGTAAATTGCACGTGGGACCCGCACTGGAAGCGGGGGGGCCACCTGATAATCCTGAAACTATATATTTTATTCATCTTGGTCTGGATAATAATTATATGGTGGAGGATATATTATTTGAGCCATAGAAAGGCCCAGGGTTGGCCGATTGGTCAAAAAGCGGCCCAATTGCCAGTACCGACAAATTTATCAGATAACAGCCCGAAAATGAATTTCGGAGACTTCTAAATTAAAGTTTTGGAATATATATTATCTCAAAGGGACATTATGATTGAGAGTAAGTAATATATTTTATTTGACCCAATAAAATAAAATATAATTAAAACAGTCCGAAAAATACAACTTTCGGGGCCAAATGTACAATTCGGGACAAGTTGGGATGACCTCCCACATGAGTGGGGGCCACCCCACGTTTTTGTGTGCTAAATGGTTGACTTGGGGAGCTGCATAGCATGGAGGAGTGGCGTAAAATGAGTGAGAGTGATTGGTTGGTATAGGAATGACCTTAGGTGGACCTCCGCGCTCAATTATCTCACAATTGAGACAAAAGATACACATCACCTCCCACCCCAATCACTTAATTCGGCCAGCACCAAGGAGAAAGGGAAAGAATGCTCTGAAACTTCATCTTCCATAGCCAAAATTCGAGCTCAACCTAAAGTAGTCCAAGGAGGAAGCATACTACGGGTCCTTCATATGATATATAGCTCATATAGTAGAAGAAAAATATAGGAAAAGTTATAATAAGGTCATTACCTTAATTATAAGTTATAATAAGTTGTAGATTTATGGGTTGGAAGGTGGTTCTATGTCCAAGAACGGACTTAGAAACCAAAATGACCGGTTCGCCGGAAAATAACCTTTTAGGGGTTATTTGTATTAATATGAGTTTTATGATTATAAAACCTTGTTAGGAACTTGATTAAGGTATTTCAAGATCTTTCACAAAGTTGAGAGAGTCGCCGGAGTTGTCGCCGGAGTTTGTCAAAAGTCGCCGGAGTTTCGCCGGAGTTCAACCAAGAATGGTAGAACTTCATAGCGCTAATTTGAGGTGAGTGGACGGCTTAATATCTTATAATTTTGGGTTAATAATGAGATTACCTAAATAAATGTGATAAAGGTGCAAATAGGCCCATGTACTAACCAAAAAAGGTCAAATAAGCCATTATTTAGGAGGCTCTATCCGGACGTCACCATTTGGGGTGGTTCCCGGTGAAATTTTTTGATGAAATTTGTTGAGCATCGTATTCATGAAGTGTAGTTTACTCATACCAAATTTAAGCTAGAACTT